GATGTCACCCTTTCAGCATCTACTACCTTAAATCCTGCGACTTTACTGCCAATGTCGGAACAAAATTAATTACAGCATGATTGCTTGACAGCAATGGAACAAGTTTATCCTAGCAGACCAGGTTTGCAAGATGCTCCTCTTTTGGATTGTGATTTAGAGTTATATATGGATGGGAGTAGTTTTATGTCGGAAGGAAAGCGACGTGCTGGGTATGCAATAGTGACTAAAGACCGTATTCTGCAAGCTGAGTCTTTATCTTATAATACTTTGGTTTTGCGGGATTTGCTGGTGCCAGGTGAGACCCCGGGGAGCCCCGGTTTGGGCAAAGCCCTGGGACAGCTGGCAGGAGGTGGCCCGAGGGCTCACACGTGGCTACTGGGTGGTGTTAATCAGCCTCGGACGTTAAAGGGAAGGGCTGGAGGACACCGTAGCTGATGCCCACCGCGAGCAGAGGCGGCGATGGTCCCCGTTTCCATCCAGCTCAGCTGCTACGTGAGGCTCAGGTGGGAACGGAGCTCCCCTGCCCACGACATCGCTCCTGGGTCTCCTCTGTGCGTTCGTCCCACCGGGACAGGGCAAGAACCTTCTCAGGACAGAGCTTCCTCGCCCTGCCGAAACCCCGCGGTGCGGCAGTGAAGCCTTGGAGACGTGCTGGAGCTTTTCTGCAGCATCAGGAGTTTTACTGGGAGCGAACCCATCAAAGGCTGGAACGTAGCGGGAAGGGGACGACGGACGCATCTGGGATGGGCTTTAGGAGTGACGCCACTGCGCCCCAAATGACGGCGCAAGCCCCAAAAGCCTTTAGGGTGCTTCGGTGGGGGTTTCAGAGAGCTGGCACGGATGCTGGCTCTGCCTGCGCCACGTGTGGCAGCCCCTCATTCGAGGGGTTTTCCATGGCGTGCTCCCTGCTCCGAAAGATCGGCTCGGTTGTGGTTTGAGCTCCCTTCTGGCGATGCATTTCCCTCCCTGTTGCGTTTCGTTGGGGCAGGTGAATTCCCTAAGGTGCCAGAGAGCAGAAATGTCCCACCACGGCTATTCCCACCAGCGCTGGAGCAGCCTGGCACCACAAAAAGGGTAAGGACCACCCCAGCAGGCAGCGATGCTCCCCCAGCCTCCCTCCCTGCCGCCGGCTCCAGATTTCCTAAGCCGGGACGGACACCTCGGTGTTTAACGCCCTCGGAGAAGGTTCCCTCCATGGGTTTTTGGGACACAGAGCGGGGACAACACAGACCACAGTCCTGGGATTACAGACCAGGGTGTTTGTCTGCAGTGAAAATAGAAGGGTTGGCATCATCGCCGCCCAGGGACTGCGATGCCTCCCGGGGAACACGGCACAGATAAAAGCCAACTGCTTTTTTTAAAAAAAAAAAAAAACAACCTGAAACCTGTCCCAGAAAATGTGGCTTTCTCATTCTGGAACCAGTATCATAACAGCCCTGTGAGAACCAGAAACATTTGGAGGCAAAGCCAAATGTTGACTTTTGGTATTTTTATGGGGATATAAAGTTTTTCACAGGAAGCAGCAACTTTCTGTGAAAAGCATTTCTCCATCGCGATCTATTTTCTTTGGAAAAAAGCAGGGTTTTTTGGGTTGGAAAAAGACTTTCAGTTCCACCAGGCTCGTAAACTTGTCCCGCGCTGGTGGGAGGGGATGCTGGGGGGGGGTTTGCTGACCCCCCCCGCCCCCCCGAATCTGAGCGCCCAGACAGGCTTCCCCCATCCGTCCCGTGACATCCTAAGGGACACCGGACCGTGGTACCGAAGCCATCGACGTGGGAGTCCCCAGCCACCAGACCAGGTGCGTTTGCGCTCCTCCAGCCGTGCCGAAAGCCACGCTCGTGGGGCAGACGTCTCGCCCAGCCCGTGCGTGAGCGGCTCCTGGAGATTTAAAAGGAAGAATAAGCAGCGAAGAAAAGATTTCCAGCTGTCGGGAGAGCAAAACTCGGCCTAAAAAAAAAAAAAAAAAATCCAAGGAACGTGTTGTATATATCAGCAAAGCCAGAAATTCCTGCAAATAAAGGGCTGGAAGGCTCCACCGGCCAGGCTTGCCACTTCCCCGCATCTGCTCAGCCAGACGCTTAAAAGCTTCACCTCCTCTGGCATCTGTTTCCAAAATAAATCGTAACATCCTACCTTGGGCTCCTGCCATCCCCAGCTGGACCTGGCTTTATTTAGAAAGGGAAGATCGCTTTCTCCACGGATACCTCCCTCGGAAAGGGGTTTTGCTCAGCCGCGTCAAGCCCGGCTGCTGGGCCGAGGACAGTCACGGCTGTTTCTGGCTGAAAAGCTGAAACTTCAGGAATGCTTTAGGAATCTGAAAAGGCGGATTTGGGAGGAAATCCACCGTAGCAGGCGGTTTCGGCTGGGAACACAAGCCATCGCTTATGCTGGAGGACACCCTGCCTGTATAAAGGCTAAAGAGGGGATCCCAGCATTTCCATGGGTGCTAAAGTGTTCCTTATCCCTCGGGTGCTGCCGAGGCTGGAATGAGATCCCAGCCAGCACGGGACTCGTTAGCATCGGGGTGTCGAGAGGAGATCTGCCTCCGGAGAGACACGCTGACGAGTCACCAGCAGAAATTAAAGACTAAGAGGCATCGGGAGTGCGATGAACAGGCGCGGTTGAATCTCATCCATCTCCGTGTTTTTCCTGGAAAGCCGTGCCGCCAGTTGCAGCCTTTTACAAGGCCAAGTGCTCGCTCCCCCGTCGGGGCTGCGGGATGGAGGAACGCCATCGGCACCTCCTCCCGAGCAGGCAGGGGCTGCGGGTACCCGGCACTGGCAGCTTTTCTCCGCCTGATGTTTTCCACCGTGGAATGGGGGATGTGGGTGGGCTGCGGTGCCCAGCGAGCCCCCCGCGGCTACGGGCAAATCCTCTGGGGCCGGTGCTCAGCCGTGCTCTGGGTTTACCAGCTAAACAACTCCTGCTGCTGTGCTGAAAATCCTGCCGTTTCCCGGTGCGGGCGAGCATGGGGAGGGCAGAAACCGACTGTGCTCCCTCTCATTAGCCAACGGACAAGGAGCTTGGGAAATGGGCTGTAAGGACCCGAAACGGGACAGGGGAGGGCTGAGACCCCGCAGCCCCAGCTCAGGGTGCTGAGGCTTGCCCGGCGTTCTGCTCCCTCCTCTGCGGCACCGTCCTGCTCCCAGGCCTGTGGCCATCGCCCCAGTCAGCCGCTGGTCGGTCCCCTGGCTTCCAGCCCACGCAGCAGGGATGCAGAGAAAGCCTTCGGAAAAGTCCCCGGAGAAACATAGGGTCTGCTTCACTCCAGTGTCTCTGCAAACTCGAGAGCCAAGGACATGGCCGTGGCTGCTGGTCCCTTTGCTCTCCCGGGAGACACCGAGACGTGGCCACTGCTCAGGTTTGGTACCCTGGATCCCCTGGTTTCCCCTGCTCACCCCTTACTGGGAATCACGCCCCACTGCTGGCCCCAGCCCTGGAAACCTCTGCCGAGCTCTGGAAGCTGTGTGCCTCCAAACCAGGCATCTCAGCTCCCTCTAGGGCCAAAGGAAAGGAAAAGACACTTCCAAAAGTTGTTCCACCTGCTCCTAAAATCCTCAGCTGGAAGCGGGCTGTGGAGGGTCCTGGCCCTCCCCGGGTCTGTGGTGAGAGACAGGGGCGGCGGGGCCCCTACCGCTGGCGATGCCGGTGGCTGCCAACACGGTGCGAAGCCGTGGCCAAGCTCAGAGATGCCAGAACCCTGTACCTAAATATTCCTGTTCCACCAAGAAACAGCTCGGGTAAAGCCTTGGGCAGTGGTCAGACATCCACAGCCTTCAAGGGAGGAAAAAGCCCAAGCCGGATCCCAGAGCCATGTCCCCCAGTCCCGCACCCTCCCGCGCCCTCCCGGAACGAGCCCAGACCGTGTCCGGTCTCACGGGTGGCGGTTGAGTCAAACCACGTCCTGTTTGTCCCTTGTCCCCTTCTCCCGCAGCGTAGCCCCCCGGGAATGAGGGGCTTTGCTCCCTCGTGTGCTCCCCGAGCTCTCTGCAGCGCCCAGTGCTGGGGACTTCACTGAGCACAGGGGAGGATGAGGGTGAGAGGGGCCGGGACCAGCACCCACCATCCCACCCCACAGCATCCCATCGGATGGCCAGGAAGCCTGGGGGGTCCTCGCAGGCCGGCGTGGAGGACCCCAGCCCTCCTGGCGAGCAGATGGGGATGGTGGCCACGAAGGAAATAGCTGTTTTCTGGCAGACCTGGAGACCGGTGGCCGGTGGAGGGAGGAAGGGGCCTCCGAGGTTGCCCCTTGGGAGCTCCTCGCCATGTGCGGTGGCTCCGTTCCCAGGCTGAGCTCTCATTTCCTATCGGAAACAACCGCATCTCCTTTCCCTTCGGCTCCCGCCGGGCCCGTGCCGGAGCCGTCCGGCACCGCACGCCGTGCTGCCGCCCACCCTGGCTCGCTCCTGCGGGTGGGCTGTCCTCACCGGGGACAGACCCACAGGGTCAAGGTGCTCGTGAAGGAAGGAGAACCCCAAAGAAAATAAAAACCGCAATAAAGGAGCTTCCTTGGGACCTTTATAGACTAACGGGGTTTATGTTTGTGCAGTGTCTTGTTTCACTCATTTTTTTTTCCCCCCCTGTAAGGGAAATTGCCAGGGCTGGCTGTCTCACAGTGGCCCTAACGAGGGCAGCCAAATGAGCACCTCGTTAGGACCCTGCCAGAGCTGGCACATTGCTAATTGCAGAGACGATGCCCGGGCAAAGCGTCCGCAACTGGGGATGGAGAAGACTCGGCCGGGACCGGGCAGCAGGGGGTCTCCTCCTCGAAGCAACCCAAAGGACAAGCGTCCAACCCTTTCCGCAGGCTGCAGCGAAGCCCTCGGAGCAGGTGCCCGCCTCGGGCTTGCAAAGCCCCTCTCCCTGCCTCCCTCTCCCTCCACTTCGTGCGTGCAAGCAGGTGCGTGCGGGGTTTTTTTTGCTCTCTCCCCTCCGTTGGCAAAGCCACCTCGTTGAGCAAGAGGGGCCTGACGGGATTTCCATGAACAAACTTCCTGCAGGGAGCAAAGGGCAGCGGGACCGCGTCTCTGCCCGACCACCAGCTCCTGGGGAGGTTCGGCCAGCGAAGGGACCGCTAACGGCAGCCGTGAGGAGAAGGGGGAGGGCAAGCCCAGGCTGAAGGAGGTACCGGGGTGGGGGGCGAGGTGTGGGGTGCAGGATGGGGTGTGGGACATCCTTGTAAGAGGATGGCAGCGCTTCTTGTGTCACCGCTCACATGGACGCGTCCCATGTGCTGGTCCCTGGGCAGGGTGGGAGCTGGCCTGGTCCTTCGGCTTCGCCGGCTCCCCAGCCCCGTTCTGCCCACAGGCGATGGCAGCCACCACGGTGACCGATTCCAGCGGCGTCAGGATCATCACGGAGGTTATCCCAGCCACAGATCCCCGAGCGGCCCAGCTGGTCTCCGGCTCCAAGCCGTCCGCGCCCGCTGTGTCATTTCAAGTCAGAGGCTTCAGAAAGGCTCAGCCCAAGGCGCTGGGGGTGAGACCGCGGCGTCCCGGGGGGGACAGGGCACCTTGGGGACAAAGCAGGGACTGAGTATCCCCTGCTTGACGTTCTTCTTGGCTGGGGCAGAGGAGACGTTCGGGACCAGCTCCCTTTGCTGGCTCGCGCCGCTGCGCCAAGTGCCAGCACGGCCAGCTGTGCCGAGTCCCTTCTCGGCACTGCGGGGTGCAGCCGGGACGCGGTGTGACAGTGGGATCAGGGTGGGACGCGGCTAACGGCAACGGTGACATCCATCCTTTGCCGGTGCTGGTGGACAGGCAGCGCTTTGGGCTAAGAGTGACCAGGGGGATTCCTCTCCTCCGTCCTTTCCCAGACCATCCACATCTTCACCGGGATCATCCACATTTGCTTTGGGATCATCCTGACGGTGTCAGAGTACGAGACCCCTTCCCTCCCTGTGGCCAGCGGGGTCCTCTTCTGGCTCGGGCTCCTGGTAAGCAGGGGCATGCAGGGCCTTCGCCTCTTCGCCGTCCGATGAGGACAGGGGGATCTCAGTGGATCCAGGGCCAGATCCCCTCGTCACCAGAGCTGCCTCTTACACCCAGATCTTCTGGCTGTCCCCTCTGGGGATGGAGGGTGTGTGCGTGCAGCCCTGAACACCGATTTGCAGCCAGAGGGGTGCCGGGATGGGTGACAGGGAAGGGTGCCTTGCTGCTGACACCCTCCTTCTTCTGTTTTCTGAGCAGCTCCTGGTCTCAGGCTCTCTGCTGGTAGAAAGTGAAAAAAGAGATAACATCTTGCTGGTAAGGGGGTCCCCTGCAGCCAGGCTGGGAGGGACAAAGCAACTCCCCGTTACTTCTGCGACTTCTGCCCCTCTCAGCGGCTGGCAGGACCCCTCTGCAGCCTGGATTCACCCCGCGGGGTCTAGAGAGAGGCACCTAAGGCCTGTCTCGCCCTTGGGAGGTGTCCAGCTCTCTCCCCATCGACCAGAGGGTGGGCGATCCTTCACGCTTCAGGGCCTCCACAAGATGCTTGGGGCCTGGTGGAACAAGTCTTGGATGACGGGGAGAAAACGTGTCACGGAGGGTGGCTTCCCTGGGTGGCTTTTCTAGGAGTTTATTTGACCTGAGTTGAACAATCCAGCTTGGAGGTGCCCCTGGTCAGGCAGCTCAAACAGAAAGCCCCAGGCAGCCGCTCCCTCGGCTCTGTGGCACCTCGCCGGGGTCTCTGGCCGGGTGGGCTGTCACCTGCACAGCTCCTGGCAGGAGCAGAAGGGACAAAGCTGCTGCTGGTTGACGTGAGGTGACCCACACAGGTGAAGACCTGCTGCATCGTCAACATGGGGGTCATCCTGGGCACGCTGGTGGCCACTCTCATCCACACCACGGCCATCACTCGCGACATCCCCAGCTGCGAGACCAGCATGCCGTACCAGCTGAAAGGCGAGTGGTGCTTCAGAGCTGAGAACAAGGTAGAGCCTCAGGCGGTGGAGCTGAGGACAACCAAACAGGGCGGCTGCCAGGCAGGGGAGGGGGACGAGGGGCGATGCCAGCGAGCAGGACCCTGCAGGACCCTTCCGCTCTCCTCCTCGCAGATGCTGAGCAACGGGCTGGATTCCATAGTCGTCATCTTCTGCTTCCTGGAGTTCTGCGTGGCGGTGGCGGCCCTGGCCTTCGGCTACAACGCCATCAAGCAGCACAACTACAGTCCCATGGTGAGGGAAGACTTGGGGCCAGCTCCCACATTTCGGCAGGAGCGGGGCGGCATCGCCCAGCCCCTTCTTTCCCCTGAGGGGCCTCCCCGGCCCGGTGGCCCATGGTGGGGTCTCTCTGAATAACCCCAAAAGTGGGATTTCCCCCCTTTTTTCCTCTTCCAGGTGCTGTAGCCGTGGCCAAGCCCACCGCCAGCCCCTGTTAAGAACCACTGCACGCCCCAGCCCCGCTGCAGCCGAGGTTTTGGAGCCACGGGGGGTCTCCCTGGTCCCTGACGGTGGAGCTGGCCGGAGCCCGAGACCCCTCTGCGCCCCAGCCCTGGGCCTGGCCCCGGTGGGGAGGCCGCTCCCCTCCATGGGTTCGGCCCCCAATAAAGGCCTCTCCCCCCTCCCGCCCAGGCCACGCGTGTCTCCGGGGCTCGCTCAGGGGTCAGGGAGGGCCTCCCCGGTCCCTCGCACCGGGTGGGAGCGAGGGGATGGAGAGCCGCCGCGACGACGGGATGATGGGCACCGGTACTCGTCTGCCCGGCACAAACATGGCGGCCTCCGCCGGGCGCCGTTGGGGAGGCGGGAAGCGCTGCCCGACACTAAAATGGCGTCCGAGGGATCGGCGTCGCCTCGCTTCCTCTCTGAGCGTGCGCGCGGTGGTGGCGCGGCGCCTCTCTGACGTCATCTCACGGCGACATCGGCGAAGGGGACGCGTGGAGAATGGAGGGGGAGAGCGGGGCGGGCCCGGGCCCCGAGGAGCCCAGCGGGGCGGCTCCGACCCCGGCCCCGGCTCCGGCCCCGGCCCGGCGGCGTCGGGAAGCCGGCAAGAAGCGCAAGGAGGCGGCGGGGGGGG